ACTCCGCAAGTTTTAGCTTTTTTTTTGTTATTGTTGTCAGCTATATAATTGCCTGAAGGACGTTCGCAATAATCTGTTTCAGATGTAAAAGGAATTATCATTCATCCATTAAAGAAGCAAACTCGGATAGGCCTAAATGTGAACGTTTATTTTTTATCCTAAGATTTATTTAATGAGCGATTGTGATGGCTGCATTTGATACTACTGTTGTTACAACGTTCTTCTTTTACTGGCAGATTCTGTTAAATTATTTGGAGAAAATAATTCAACGTCCAGTTCACGTAAAAATAACAAATTAATTTTATTTCCTCCTTAACGTTTCTTTACAGGTTTGTACGCTTGGTAACTTGTTGTAGGCCCATGTTTACAGCCACGCTGTCTGGACTACACTAACGTAAAAAATTAAGTTACTTGTACTAAGTAATTCATTATGTACGACAGCTAACATAGATCCAAAAACGTAAACTAATTTACTCTACCGGCTAGAAAACAACTCTCTATCTTCACTATTTCACTGTAAGCTTACTTAGATTATTGACTGGCTTATCCGTATTTATACCTATATCCATGGTCTATATATTTCGTAAAATCTCTCATTCATTTATATTCTAGGACTAACTTGATCTTAAAGTGATGCGCCCTCTAGTAAATATCTGAATTAAAAATATAAAAAATATAACTTATAACACTACCTATTAGGATAGATCATTTTAAAAGGAAGCTGCGACCTTGATCTATATTAATAAAATTACTCAAACATTTAGGGTTAACAAAGTGATATTATCTGTCATCCCTTTTTATTTATTGAACAATAAAACCATTTCTGGATGGATCAATTTTACTCCAAGTTAATAAAGTAACTTCGTCGCTCTGGGGGTAACAAAAATGATAATATATCCAGAGTTTAAAAAAAAAAAAAACAAAAAAAAAAACGCGTTTCCTTGACATGGGTATATAAATACCTTCTCTATCCTAGAGTTACAAAACTGATTATATATACGATATTAATAAATAAAAAATGTTTCTTTGAATGGATACATAAATGAATTCTTTACCTTAGGGTTACAAAACTGATCATAGATCCAGAATTTAAAAAATATATATATTTTTATATGAATATAAATGCTTTCTTTACTTCGTATTAATAGAACTGGCCCTATATCACAATTAAAAAGACCGTTTTTTTTATAAACATTATTTAATCCTGAGCTAACAAAAACCTCTCTATTTCGTCGGTATTCACCCGATATTTTGTCCTACACCCCCACGATAATATAGTGAAGCAGTATTTTTTCTTTTAGTCTAATTTTTATTTTCATCACTCTTTGTCAAGGAATTAGACAAACACAGCCGATTTTCGTTATTCGTGATAACGGAAACCAATGGTGGGACTACCTGCGCATGTGCAGGATGATGATAGTTGCGCGTTCCACAGTGGTGAGGCAGATTATTACTGAATACAGGATTATTTAGTTGAAAGTTCTTATAAAGCAGACAAGTCTGTGTTGAAATCAGCAAAATCTCCATCATACGTGTACAATCAGGAACACAAAGCAAACAGTGTCAGAGTTTACTGTTGCGATATGATGAATTTATTATGCCAAACTGTCCCTGCTGAATTATGATAATAGTACAATATGCTTTGTACTGATTTTGATTTAATTTTAGAATCACGCGTTTTGTCCAACAGTGGGCATTATTACTCAACCGTTTCAAGGTGTTACATAATAGTGATGTAAGGCTTGATGTGTGTTATGACACACGATTTGGCCCGGCATGGGCACTCGACTCGCAATACGAGGGTCGCGGGTTCGAATTCCCGTCCCTCCAAACATGCTCGCCCTTTCAGCCGTAGGGACGTTATAATATGACGCTCAATCCCACTATTCGTTGGTAAAAGAGTAGCCCAAGAGTTGGCGGTGGGTGGTGATGACTAGCTGCATTTCCTCTAGTCTTACACTGCTAAATTAGGGCCGGCTAGCGCAGATAGCCCTCATGTAGCTTTGCGCGAAATTCATAGCAAACAAACAGACGATTTGTTAACTTGGCAGTATAGCATTATTTGGCAATACAATGCACCTGTGTTATTAATTCTTAATTTCTTTCTCTTATAAGTAAGGCGAGATATTTGTTGAAGTTTGGTTTGTTTGTTTTAGAGCAAACCCCTATTGGACTATCTGTCGAGCTCACCGCGTAAAATTACCGTTGTCACCATGTTAGATATCTCAGAATGCTTAATTTCCACTTTTTTTTTCCGGCTGGATGGATACCCTCAGATCCCCCAGAAAAAGGGTGTGGCTCCTCCCTCCGTATTATCTCTCGTACTTCGCGCTCTTATCTCCCTGTTTAAAACTGAACAAAGTTGACAGGTCATTCGCTGTGGATTGTCAAAACAATTTCCTTGCCCCAAGTTAACCTATGGTCTGTTTAGTAAAATTATTTCTTTGTTTCGGACTAACAGTTTTTTTTTGTCATGGAACGTCAAAACTGTTCATCCATACTTCTTTAACCAGACTGTTTTGTGCAGGTAATTGATTTTCTCGTTCATCCCGGAATAGTACGATACGCATGTAAAGTCTCAAGGTAATAGAATAGCACATTTATTGTATGTAACCGAATTTCTTTGTTCTCATGTAGCGAAACTGCTACCATATGATATTTGGTTTCATTTTCATTTTGTGCGCCTTCTTTCTCCATTGTATTTAAAGCACATATGCGAATCCCCGAAGAGTAAGATTATATTGGTAGAAAATTGGTAGACTCGGGTTTCTTCCACATTCTTATTCCCGATTTTTTTGTTTAAAAGAATAGAAAACTGAAACATTTTTTGTTAATGATATTTATTCTTCTCTGGTATTGCACTTTTGAACAATAAATAGAAGTCGCGCTTTGTCCGGTGTCAATTATTTTTAACATCTCTAAAAGGAAGATTTATAACGCTGTTAGCGTGTAATAAGCGCGAGTACTGCTGACAAAATGTAACTCCTTCGCGTCCCCTGGTGGTTCAACAGTGTGCTCGAATACTTATAAAGCTAAAATCCTGGGTTTGGTCTTTGCGTGGGCAGAGCGTAAATAGTCCATTGTACAGCTATGCGCTTAAACAGACAAACAAAATTTCTATACGTATGCATGGATAAATAAAACGGAAAATCGCTCATACCGAACAAGAACAGAATAAAAAAGTTAATTCTCTCGACTTCTTGGAAATTCTCTCTGTTTTATACATGTTTTTCCCCTTAAATATAATAACACCTGAATGACCTAAAAAACGAATCAAACCTAGTAACGAACAGGAAATTAACAAAATATAGTAGGTTTGTACAAGCACTAATTTGATGTCTCCTGGTTGCTCGGCGGTAGTGTTGGGACTTATAACGCTTGATATCAGGGTTCGATCCCCGGGGCCAACACAACAGAGTAGCCCATTGTTGAACTTTGCACTAAAATAAAATAAGTACAAACATCTGAGTTAAAATAAATTAATGTTTAGAATTACTTTGAAAATTAGCATGCTTTGTTGTTGTTGCTTTTTTGTGTTAAAGAAAAATAATTGGAACTAACAATCAGCCATGCTTTTTGCGCACATGGACGTTTCTCCAGTCACTGCATTATTATACACAGCTTTTCATGACTGGTACCTATTTATATTGTGTTTATTGAGTAACGGTTACTGAGAGACTCAAGAAAAATTATGTAATTGAGGGAAGTACAGTTGTTGTTTACTGCAGCTGGTGATGCGGAAACTGACATTAACGTGCAAAAAAAACACACACACACAATAAAAAACGTGTTTCTTTCGGGGGGACAACGTCTGCTGACTGCTAGAAAACCAGTTGGATTCAATCTGTAGATTTGCGCCCATGTTGTCCATACCTCGAGGACTTGCGATGACGAAAGGCTGTATGAAGGAGGGTCTGACGCCAGCACGGCGTGTAGTAAAAGTACAGAATGTGGAACGTAATGGTTCATCAACCCTTCTTTGCTACTTTTCCATGTCCCTGACACCATCAGTAAGTGTAGACTCTTTTGTGCTCAAGATGCGTACGTCGTGTCTACACGAGGTGGCGGCACGATCGCAGCCGTTACACGTAGAGTGTGTGGGTCATACGCTCAACTAGCGCATTGGTTTTGTACTATCACATGATGACTTTAACAACCTTGTTATCTCCCTATTGACATGTGCCAGTGGTAAAATAAACGCAGTAAGCTGGACATACTGTAGCATCTTTGTTTGAGTGTTCATTTGTAGTTAAGATATATGTTGAAATGATATATACAAGTAGAAGCGATAAACTTACACCTTGTTTAGATAGTTAACATGGACGTTGAGAATGATAATTTCAGTAAACAATTCTGATGACTTTTGTTTTCATGGATTTGAGATCAAGAATTTGGTAGAAATTTGCATAGAGTACCATAACACATTGTATTGCTGTCTAATCGTATGCGCAGCTTTAGGTTCTAATATTTATTTACATTTTATGTAACAATGTAAGAGAAAACACTATTTAATGCTAACTTTTTGGTAACGTGAAATAATAGCTAATTATTAGTTATAATAAAGCCGTTATATTGTATGCATTAATGTTTAGTCCCTTAATTCCATACATAAGTTTTGGTTTAGTTTTATTAATTGGACTTATAAATCGATCTGTTTCTAAAACGCTGTATATGTAGGCATAGTTTGATATTTATGGTTGAAATTGAAACATTATGTAACATTTTCTGCATTTTGAGAAATAGCAGCTTTTGTTTCTGATCGTGTAAAGTTTATTTCTGCTTTAGACGTATTTTGTTCTATTCAAAGAAGACATGTTGCGAAAAACAAAAACAATCCGACTTAACAACACTAGTTCAAAAAAAAAAAAAATTCCATGCACACAGCCGGCATATGGAAGTCATCTGCATAGCTCAGCTGTAATAGACCAATGGATTGGCTGAACATACATACATACTTAGAGCAGCCATCCTGGTAGCTGCCCCAGTTGTGAGTGCACGCGTGGAGAAGCATGTGGCACTAGTATGTCAGTGCTGGGGACTAGGTAAAGAGAGGAAGAAATCGGTGAAGTCAGAAGTCTCGGGTGTTTCCCCTACGCTTGTTCTTGTCAGGAATATTACAGAGAAAAACTTCGGAAATAAGTATATTATTAATACGGTGATCAGTATTTACTGTTAAAGTTATTCTGTTCTAACGCTCGTGTATTAAGTACAGTATTCTGTGATAGCGTGTTGTTAGCTAACACCCAACGCAGTAATATTCATATCGGGTTTATTTGTGAATATCTGAAAATATACTGACAGATATACTAATTGAATCAAATTTCTTTATAACTGCTATGAACAACTGACTTTACGAGGATGTTTCTACTCGACTGTCTGCTGAAGTTCTGTCTTATTTGATCTTGGTTATTCTGTCTGCATATTGTAAGCTGATTATTACAACTGATCTGTAGCGATTATCTACTGATGCAGGCAGGGCTAATGTAGTATCGAGTCTAGTAGTAGTACAGCATGTATTGATCACTGGCACTCTGAGATTCTGTGTTACGTTAGGGTGAAATTCAACGTGGTTTTGAATACAGCTGGTTCAGAACTCGAGCCTTCTTGACCACTACAACTAAGTCTTTGTCTGCCAGTGATAGTAAAAGGAAATCGTGCGTGAGTTCGGGCAAGGAATAGTAAAGCAGATAGCCACAAGGTGTAGAGATAACACATACGACTAACCGTGGAAAGTACTTAGTTGTGTCTACTACGACAAGCTGCATTCTCGGCAGGCGTACCATGGCGGCCGTAACCGCAGCCCTTTCCCCGCCCTGTGAGAGAGGGAAAAGTGGAGTTGAAGATGAACTACGTGACCTGAGAACCGATACCGATGACGAACTACTATCTGATCCGGGAATTGAAGTAGAGGATGATGCTGATGTTAATGTAAGTGTCGAAAAATGTGTACTTGTGATTTACTAAGAGTTTTAAAATTTTGTTTTGCTGGTCCATTGAAGGATCATATCGATTGACAGGGTGCGAGCGTGCGCGCGCGTGAATAGTACCACTTCTTGTGTGGCATCATTTTTATGTATTTATGAATACATATGTGTATGCATATTTGGTACACTTATTTCTGTTGTAAATAGCTGAAACATGAAAAAAATTAAGAACAAAAAACTAAAACAATAACTAACAACTCATAATTACTCTCGTTAATTTTCACAAGTTATATTGCTAATAAAACATTCACTACATCTAAAGATAGTCCACAAATTTTGCAAGAATTATATTACATTCCCACAAAAAAAAACGTATAAACGTACTGAGTAATTGCTGTGCAGGCATTATATGTTCATTGATGAAATAAAACAAGACAAAAAGTGGTCATGGACGATTTGGTCCTTAATTTATTGTAATTTGATTGGTTCCTGTGATGTAATCAGCTTGTACAGAACTACAACAAAAAACGTTTTGAAATGTTACTGAGCCGTAAGTGGCAGTTGATAACGTAGCTTGTATGCAGATTCTTGGGGATAAAAAAAAAACTTGATTTGTGAAAGTGTAGTAAATCTTAACACTTCAAGTATATGTATACGCATAATCGATACTAGGGGAGAAATTCTCAAAAAAAAAAGTTAACATATGTTTGAAAGAGAAAAAAAATCTACGTGTAAACAAAAAAAATTAACAAAACAGCTAAAAAAAAAATAAGTTCCGGTACTCAGTACTAGCAGAATTTCACCCCTGATCGACACTAAGGGTGATTACTATACCCCAACTGAACAGCGTAGCATCATTGCTTTATTGTCTGCGTAACAAGTCACATTTTTAGACCTGGAAGTTAAGTTTATGAAGCTCCGTTGAGATTTGAACTTCATGAACTTGTAACCTACAGAGTGCATAATTCTTCTCGTTATCGTGACATGCGCACGTTGTACCGACATCACGACAATGTAAATTGCAATGTTAAATATCCCTTATGTGACGTAATTTTAGTATCCACTGACCGACTGACTGACAGACATTGGTGCGTTATAAAAAATTTTCGTAAAACTATACCATTAATATATTTCAGGTCCCTCAATGAGTCAGCGGTAAGTGTACGCACTCATACAGCTGAAATCCGGTGTTCGATTCATTTCGATAACAGAGTGCCCATTGTGTAACTTTGCGCTAAAGAAAAACATCAGAAGACTAACGAGAAGAATATCGAAATAATGACATTATGACATGTTTTTTGGCATATTTAGTAAAAGTTAAAATTCTTGCCTATTTGTTTACACGTATGTTTCATTAAAATATATACATAATAAAGAAAACTCGATTGTTTGAAAGACAATGCAGTTTCTTCTTCAAATCTGTACACACATTTCTTTAGTCAAGACTGACAACCGTCAAGAGAGATACTTGCCTAAGTTATATTTGAATGATACCTATATAAAGATAATTGGTCTGATGCTAATCGAGTTTTTGTGTATTCTCAAACTGCTATGCGTTTTTTTTTATAGTATCCCTGTTTTTGAGCGCTATTACAATTTATTTATGAAATAATGGGTTTTGATCGTCATTTTTATTTAGTGCCCACAGTCCCAAAAGAGCGGAGCGTGTTTTTGCAGAAATGTGCCGCAAATCATCAATTGGGGCACTCTAGCAACTAGGCCAAATTCGGCTATCCTATTACGTTTGACTGCCCAGTTGTATCTTAATCCTCGTCACTTCAATTTTAAAAGGACAAAAAGGAGCTTATTAGCCCATCAAGGATGTCCCTTCCAGCTCCCAACTATAAACACCCCTTACTATTCATGTATTCATCCAATCTTTTCTTGAATTCGGTTAAATTTTCTCATTTCAAAAGCCAATCACCCTGTTTGAAAAGTAATGCTGTCTGGACAGTGGAAAGGGTGTGGACTTGGTGTACTTAGATTTTCAAAACGATTTTGTTAAGGTGTCGCACAAAAGATTATAGCTAAGGATATCGCATCGAAAGACTTTGAGGTTTTTGAATGTAGGGTGGGAGAAAACGAAAGGTTGTTATTAATAGAGTTCAGTCAAATAGGGCCACTAGAGTACCTTGGGGGTCAGTACTTGAGCCTTTGCTTTTTTTTTTTATTTACATGAATGATACTGATAAGGTCATAATTAGAACATTAATAAAGTTTGTTGATAATGTTATCTAATTTTATTGAGGTGCTACAGGACAACTTGGATCAAATGATAAGTTGTCCAAATGACCTTTAATTATATTATGTGCAAGGTAATGTATTTGAGTTATCATAACCTGGATCAGACGTTTGATATAGAAGGGAACTCACTCAACAGTATGACTGAAGAAAAGGATCTGTATACAGTGATGGATTCAAGCCGTCGAGGCAGTGCTGTAGTAGATAGCGGTTTTATGGTGTATTTATAGACATATTGATTATAGGTCAAAAGATGTAGTTATCTCGGTACAAATCAACAGTTGGGCCTCACTTGGACTATTGGTACAGTTTTGGTCTCCTTATCTATAAGAAAGGATACTGACTTATTGGAATGACTTCAGCGAAGGACTAATAGAATGATTCCGAGGATACAAGGGTTATCTTAAAGAGATAGGTTAATGTCTCTTATTTTCTGTTGAGAAAAAAAAAGCGATCTTATTGAAGTAATTCAGATTAGCCGAAGGATCGATAGGATATAGGCTACCGATTTCTTTGTGCTACATTCTGAATAATATAACGAGAGGACACGAGTTTAAGATCTGGAAAAGACAAGTAAGGCAACAGTTAAGACAGTTTTATTTTTCTAACATGGTGGTAGAATTGTAGCATGAGTTGCTGCCGGAGGCAGTAGTAGGCTTTGCATTTTACAGGAGCTGTAAGACGGAAATTGATAACTTCCTCAAATATAAAGGGTGGGTTAAATTTTTACTTTTCTCTGGGGTCGGGTGTATAAGGATAGCCTTAAAGGACCAAATGGGTTCCTTGTTATTCGTGTGTTATATTATCTGTCTTTTAAGTAACCAATTCATCCGAACAATGAGTTGTTAAACATAAGCACGTCTTTTTCTGCAGATCAATTTCTAGGTTCAACCTGTATATACCTACCGTTCATTTATCCCCAACTTGCCGGTTCTTCTGTCTGTCGTTTTGTTGTGAATTACTATTCATTCTCCCCTCTAACTAGCCCCTTCCTATTTCTAACTTTCTATTCATCTTTTACCATTCAATATCCGTCCGATGAAAAAAAAAAAATGTTCAGCGTTTCAACTTGTATACAGTGATGAATTCAAGCCACCGAGGCAGTGCTGTAGTAGAAAGTAAGACTACTATCTAGCGAAACCGAGGGGTACAAATTACAAGGGGGGGGGGTAAAAGTTGCCCTAATGAATTGGTTCTGTACCCTTCCTTTAGAGTGTAAAGCCCTAATGATTTGGTTCTGTACACTTCCTTTAGAGTGTAAAAACCTAATGATTTGGTTCTGTACCCTTCCTTTACAGTGTAAAAACCTAATTATTTGGTTCTGTACCCTTCCTTTACAGTGTAAAAACCTAATGATTTGGTTCTGTACCCTTCCTTTACAGTGTAAAGCCCTAATGACTTGGTTCTGTACCCTTCCTTTACAGTGTAAAGCCCTAATGACTTGGTTCTGTACCCTTCCTTTACAGTGTAAAGCCCTAATGACTTGGTTCTGTACCCTTCCTTTACAGTGTAAAAACCCTAATGACTTGGTTCTGTACCCTTCCTTTAGAGTGTAAAGCCCTAATGACTTGGTTCTGTACCCTTCCTTTAGAGTGTAAAAACCTAATGATTTGGTTCTGTACCCTTCCTTTAGAGTGTAAAGCCCAATGATTTGGTTCTGTAGTCTTCCTTTAGAGTGTAAAGGGCAGAATTGGGTATTGTACATCTTTCTCATAAAACGAGAGAAAAAAGAAAAAAAATAAGAGATTAAATAATTTAATTTTTACTTCTTTCTTCCAGTACCTGTTAAAAAAATCAGTTGAATGTAGATTTTATTCGCTCATTCTATACAAGCTTTATTTAACCTTGCGTTCACCTCTCAGTTATAATAATGTTTGGATCCTTGTTTATCATCCATGACTTCAGGTCGTACATCAGCAGTCACGTGCAACAGATATAAAATTTCCTCCACCCATCCCTTAATCGGGTTCGACCATGTCCAATCTGTGTTAGTTAACGTTAGGTCAAGTGCCTTATACGTTCGGTCTGTAGTTTTTTGTTGTGAGCTATCGTTTGTTTCTTTGTAACTTTTCTTGTCACGTGTTCTCTCACTGTAATACACGATCACATGAAAAGATGTATTTCTGTAATCCGGTTTTCACATGTGAGCATAATCCAGCTGTTTGTTACATCATATGTCTGTTGCCGAGCTGCTGGTTCTTCTGTACAAAAAGCTTGTTTGCTATCCGTCAGTTTTTTCGTGTTTTCTTTAATGCTTTATGCTTGTCTAATAATCTGTGTGCAATCATTTTAGATGTCGTATGCCCGTTTATCAGGCTTTTTCTCGTCAATCTGTCTGCCTGTCTCAGTTTACGTCTTAATCTATCAGAACCTCTAGGGTACAATGCCGACTGCATGGTAACTGAACGATGAGGCTTTGTTTGTTTGTAGTTAAGCATAAAGCTACACAATGGCCTATCTGTGCTCTGCCCACCACGAGTATCGAAACCCGGTTTCTAGTGTTGAATGATGAGGCATTTCCTGTGATGGACAGATTTGCCGACAATACAATTTCATATGACATACAACTGAATTTCGTGTGTTATTGGGACGAGATACTGGCATCTGTTGTCATTGGACCCAAGTGAATTTTACATATTGTGTTTTAAGATGTATTTTTACTCGCACAGTAATCCTATATTTATATTAGAGTATCAAGAATATACACTCCACCAATACATGAAACCTAGTCTTATTCTTGGGTAAATATAAAGAATAAGACTA